CAATTAAATACTTAGGAATAAATCTAACCAAGGATGTGAAAGACTTATATAATGAGAACTACAAAACACTGATGAAAGAATTAAAGAAGATCTAAAAAAAAGGGAAAGACATCCCATGTTCATGGCTTGGAAGACTTAATACTGTTAAGATGTTCACATGACCCAAAGTGATTTGCAGATTTAACACACTCTCTATTAAAATTCCAACAACCAAATCTGGCAGAAATGGAAAAGCAGACCCTCAAATTCATATGGGAATTGCAGGGGCCTCAAATAGCCAAAATAATCTTGAAAAAGAAGCATAAAGTTGCAGGATTCAACTTCCTGACTTTTAAACTTACTACAAATGTAAACAAAGCAGTATGGTACTGACAAAAGGGCAGATGCCCAGACCAATGGGACAGACAGAGAGCCCAGCAGCAAATCCATCCATGCATGGCCAACGGGTTCTTCTGACAAGGGTGAAAGTGTAAGGGCACTCTTTACAAAAAATGGTTCTAGAAAAACTGGATAGCCACATGCAAAAGAATGAAGTTGGTCTCTTAACTTATACCATATACAAAAATTAACTAAAAATGGATCAAAGACATAAACTTAAAAGCTAACACAATAAAATTCTTAAAAAAACAATGAGGAAAATCTTCATGACACTGGATTTAGTAACAATTTCACAGATATGATACCAAAGCACAGGCAACAAAAGAAAATAAATGAACTGTATTTCATCAAAATCAAAACTTTTGTGCATCAAAGGACATTATCAAGAAAGTGAAAAGAGACAGAAATGAGGAAAACATTTGCAAGTAATGTCTCTGACAAGGGATTAATGTCCAGAATATATAAAGAACCCCAAAGCTCAACAACAACAAAGACCTGATTAAAAAATGGGCAAAGGATCTGAACAGGCATTTTTCCAGAGAAGATGTACAAAAGGTCAACAGGTATATGAAGAGATTCTAAGCATCCCTAGTCATTAGGGAAATGCAAATCAACACCACAGTGAGGTAGCACCTCATGCCTGTTAGAATGGCTGTCATCAAAAAGGAAGAGATAACAGATGCTGGCATGAATGCAGAGAAAAGGGAACCTTTGTGCACTGTTAGTGGGAATATAAATTGGTGCAGCCATTATGGAAAACAATGTGGCAGATCCTCAAAAAATTAAAAATAGAACTGCCATATGATCCAGCAATTCTACTTCTGGAAATTTATCTACAGGAAGCAAAGGTATCTGCACCCCCATGTTCACTACAGCATTATTTACAACAGCCAAGAGAGTGAAACAAGCTGAGTGTCCATCAATGGATGGCTGGGTAAAGAAAACATGATTACACACACACACACACACACACACACACACACACACACACACACACACACACACACACAAATGGAATATTATTCAGCCATAAAACAACAAGCACATCATGCTAAGTGAAATAAGTCAGACAGAGAAAGACAGATACTGTATGATCTCACTTATATGTGGAATTTGAGAAAAAAAAACAAAACTTATAGAAAAAGATCAGATTTGTGGCAACTGTAAGCAGGGTTTTGGAGGGAGGTTTTAGGAGGTTTAAGAGGAACTGGAGGAAAGTGGTCAAAAGGTAGAAACTCCAGTTATAAGTACAAGGGATGTGATGTATGGCATGGTGACTACAGTTATCACTACTCTATGGTATATAGGAAAGTAATTACGAGAGTAAATCCTTAAGAGTTCTCATCAGGAGAAAATTTTTTCCTTTTATCTTTCTTCTTATTGTCTCTACATGAGAAGATGGGTGTTAGTGGAACCTACTGTGGTATTGACTACAATATATGTAAATCAAACCATCATGCTATACACCTCACCTTAAACTTATACAGTGATGTACGTCAATTATTTCATAATAAAACTGGAAAATAAAAGACAAAAAAAAAACCCACAATGAGATACTTCAGACCTACCAGGATAACTATTAAGAAAGGAAAATAATAAGGTTTGGTGAGGATGTAGAGAAACTGGGACCCTAACACATTGCTGGTGGGAATGTAAAATGATGCAGCCACTGTGGGAAACTATTTGGTGGTTCCTTAAAAAGTTAACCATAGATTTACCATATGACCCAGTAAGACCATTCCTAGGTATCTGCCCAAGGGAATTGGAAGCAGGGACTTGAATAGATATTTGTACCCCCATGTTCATGACAGCATTGCTCACAAAAGCCAAGAGAAAGCAATCCAAATGTCTATCAGTAAACGAATGGATAAACTAAAGATGGTAGACATGCCCAACAGAATACTGCTGAGCTATAAAAAGCAGTTAAATTCTGACACAGGTTACAACATGGATGGTCTCTGGAAGCATTATGTTTAGTGAAATAAGCTAAACACACAAAGCTAAATATTGTATGATTCCATTTATAAAAGGTACCTATAATAGGCAAATTCATAGAAGCAGAAAGCAGAAGAGAGGTCACGGGAGGCTGGAGGATGAGGGGGAGGCAGGGATCTTTTGTTTAATGGGTAGAGAGTTTATGCTGGGGATCCTGAGAAAGCTTCAGGTCTGACAGTGGTAATGGGTACACAGCTTTGTGAATGTATTTAATGCCACTAATTGTACATTTACAAATGGTTAAAATAATAAATACTATGCTGTGTATATTTTACTACAACCTTTAAAATATGGAAGAAATGGGGGTGGGGAGCAGTATTATGCATAATGAAAAGATAGGAATGAAAAAAACCAAAGTGTCGATGGCTATTATTCTGAGAAAAATTTTCGGTGGTCTCCTGTTTCTTTTATTCACTTTCTCACTTATTTTCACTATTTTCCAGATTTTCTTTCAATTACTCTTTGGAAAGAAAAAAAAACTTTTCTTTTTACGCTCTTCAGGATTTGATACATCCATAGTTTACCAGCCCAAATTCTTCCTTTCTGGATAGAAAGTTTCATCGCATTTGGACCAACATTTACAAAGGATTTACTTTTAACAAGGGACCATAAGAAAAGGAAAAGGTCACTTAAGTGATTTAAAGTTCTTTGCTGCATGGAGGTAAGAGCTAATGTGCTCTTACTACGTAGTGGGCATTGACCTGGCCACTGCCGGGGCGGGGTCCCACTAGCTGCAACCCTTCAGGGTGGCAATCCCTGCCTCTTTCTGAGTTTCTCTTCCCTCTGGGCACTGAATGAGGAGAGGTGAGATTTCAAAGGCCCCTGAGATGGGTAATTTCCTCTGGATGTGTGATAAAGCCCCTACTTTGACCTTCAACCAATAAATTAAAACAGGAATAATAATCTAAACACACGAGGGAGAATTTTCCTTAAATTTAACTCATGGAAATAGTTAATATTAATTTACCCTTATTAGTACCCTAAGCCTTTCCCAGAGGGTCCCATTTATACAGCAAATGATACTGACACTGTGCTGGGTTTTCAAAGCAGGAGTCCAAAGGACCTGTTCTCCCCTGTCTGACAAGTAAATAAAACGGCAGGGAGATCAAATAACTCACTAAAAAGAAGATATAATTTTTTATCTTCCTTTTTACAGTCTCATATCCACTTCCGTTGGGAATAACAAAGTCTGAATTCTTATGCAACACTTATCTAAATGTGTCGATTTTATCGGATTGATGAATTTTACTAACAAAAGGCAGCGCTAGGAAATCTTTTATGACATATTTGGCCCATTCACAGGGCTGGAGCTTTAATTTAACCAACTTGAGAATTCTGAGGGAGAGCTGCAGGTGTTGGATCTGAAAAAAAAAATCATAAATGGGAAGGCAGATCAATCTTTATGACGGGGAAACAAAAACACTACTTGCTTGCCCTCCACAGGCAGGAGAAGGAGAGGGGGAAGTGGCAGGATATTGTCTCAGGCTGCATAGCAAAGAGGAAGAGGCGCTGTCTCCCAGTGACCGCTACTTAGGATTGATCAAAAGGTGCTGGCCCAGAGAGGAAGAGAAGAATTGATAAAACAATGAGGTTTGCCAACACTGTGTGCTCAACAAGGACATTTTCTCAACCACCTCAGAATAAGTCACTCCTGTGGATGCCTGGGCAACCAGGTGGCTTTCTGTCCCATAGTCCCCAGACCCTTCCCACCCCCATGCTGCCTAGCAGCATGGCCCCTTTTCTGGCCCCACAGACCTCTCTTTACAGAACGTGCTGGCTGTGAGTAGAGCCATGGCTTGACAAGGCCTGATGATGCTCCTGTTACAGATCCCAGGTCACCCCTCCCTGCCCTCACCGGCCTTCACTCTGAGCCACACTTCTGTCCCTGGGAAACCACCACAGCTGCCTCTCCCTGTCTGCCTCCCTGCTGCCTCCAGGGCCTCCTCACCAAGCCCTCCTTGCACCTGAACCAGCCATCTCTGGACAGGAAAACCTGTTCATCGCTCCCCTGCACGGAACTCTGTAACAACTTCCTACTTCCCAGAAGATGAAACTGCAAGCCTGTGCCATGACATACAAGAAAGGGGCCTCTGTGATCCGGCCTTTCTGGGTCTCCCCTCCAGCAGCAGGGTCCATCCATACCCCCAGCTGACTTTATAAGCCTCTGTGACAGAAACATCCAGTCATCCACCAACACTCACCTACTTTTGATAATCAAGTTGCAGCTCAGGAGATGGCAAGGGGACATTTCCTGGCCTCTCGAGCTCTGAGCAGGGCCAATGTGAGCACTCGGACTGACATGTGAGCAGCAGGACCTCATGGGAAGGGTGTGCCACTTCCAGGCCCAGGCCTCAGACTGGGCCTTCCCTGTGAACGTGCACACAGAACCACTTAACTGCTGTTAGGAAGCTACCTGAAAAACCAGCTTCTAGTTTCTTTATGCTTCTGCATTTTTTGACCTCTTGCACCACCTACTTTGCCTTTACCCTTGGTGTGAGCAAGTGCCACACGAGACCCCCTTGCTGGGACCCAAGGCAGACACCTGCTGGCCTGATGCATGTCAGTGAAATGGTGTGCGTCCCGAGGCCCGCTTCTACATGGAGCTTTCCTCTCATCAGCAAACCTACTTGGTGTTCTCTAGGGTCTTCTGCATTTTCTTGGTCATTTTATCAATCGTCGCTTGCCTCTTCCCTTCAGCTAAGAGGTCTATTTTGTTCAGCACCACAACCAGCTTCTGGCAGGCGATCTGCCCAATCACAAGGCACTCTGCTGACTGGGTCTGCATCCCTTTGGTCACATCAATGACCAGCATCATCAGATCTATGATCTGGGCCCCTGGGAGAAGAGAAGAAACAGTTAGACAAGGTAAAGGGGAGATGAGCTCTGCACAATTTTGTCCAATGCCCTAGGTCAGGCAAAACCTGCAAACGATTCAGATAGAAGTGGGTAGAGTGGTAATGAACGATCACCACATATCTCCTAGCACTGGGGGATGGAATGGGTGCTTTGACCTACATGGTTTCAGTGAATCCTCATAACTACCTGGAAGAAAATGAGGTCTACAAGACAGGGAGTTTGCCCAGAGCAAAAGAGAACACGCAGCAAAGCTGGGAGACTCCAAAACCCACACCTTTTTACTACACTGATCCTACTCTTTTTATTCCATCCTACCTAGCAAATTGTCCAAGCAGGAAAATGCTCAGAGTTCGACTTGGCAGGCACCTGGAGATTTGCCCTTGCCAAGTCAGAGCAGAAAAAGCCTGAAAAGGCCTGGGGGCGGGGTCTCCTCCTCTATGGCTCCTGGGCCCTCTCCCCACAGAACTTATGGTTCAGTCGTGACCATCCCATGCTTGCCCGGATTATTTCTGCTCACTTCTTTCATCTTTTCTGTTCTGGCTGGAAGGTTTCTGTTCTTCCTGAGAGGTCAGAAGCAGCCAAGGTCCAGCTACAGCAGCTGTGAGTACTGTGTATGTGCATGCAAGTATATATGCATGCATGTGTGTGCATTATGTATGCATGCCTGGTTGTGAGCATGGCCTGAATACATAGCCAACCCTGAGCTGACCAACAGCAGGTGGGCAAATTAGTCAATGAAGGGAAACTGCTATGAGTCAAGTTAGGAAGACAAATGCTGGCCAATGAAGTGACTGGGTCCTTTGTAATGTGATTTGGAGTAGTTTTATCCAAAAAATTGGTGTTATTTTGGGGAGGCAGGAATACGCAAACATTTTCCCCTTTGCCCCATGGGTGACCTTGTGACCCTCGTCCTGGGTAAGGGTAGTCCTTCACAAGGGCACACCTACTGTGCGCACAAGTCAGATGAAGAAGGTGAGACTCAGAGCTGCAGGGTCACTTGCCCTAGATCACACAGCCAACTGTCTCCAAGGATGACCAGAAACCAGGGCACATGAGTACACTGTGAAGAATTCTCCTGGTCACCACTGGCCTGGGCAGCTTCTCTGGCCTCCCCCAAGGGGAACAGTATGTCTCTGACTCTAAGCAGGCGTCGGAATGTCCTAACTCTCATCCCTCCCTCTCCTCTGCCCTCCCCGCCACTCCCTCCCACCGGCGACACAGTGGAGCTGTGGTCCCAGGGAACCCAGAGGGCAGGCCAGGTGCTCAGGGCAGCCAGCACTAGCATCTCCCTTATCAAGTCACCAGGTGATAGGGCCCAGGTCTCTACAACAGCCATACAGCGGGGACTCTGGTTCCATCATCCACCATGACAGCACAAATTATTTTAAACAGACTCACCTTCTTAAATAACTGAGGCCTATAAAACCTCATTGACTGACAGACTCCCTCTCATATCTACCGAATCACCAACTCACCTCTGGAATCCACCTCTGTTTTAGTCCCCACAGCCCATGTCAGCGGGTACTTCACGACCCACTTTACCTCACCCCTGTCCCTCTGAAATTCATCCTTCAAACAGCTTCCCAGGAGGAACTTTCTAAAACTGTGTAACTGATTCACACACTGTTGGGTGGGGAGGGCTAGTACAACCCCTATGAAGGTCAATTTGGAGACAGTTATCAAAATTTACATAATCTTTGACCCAGCAAGCCCACATCCATGTGAAATGCCCCTGCAGCATGCCTGTTGTAGCCAAAATTGGAAACATGTAAATGTCCATTAGCAGGGAACAGGTTAGAAATTAATAATGCTATACACATGCAATAGGATACTATGAAGCCATTGAAAAGACTGAGGACGTTCTTTATTCTCTGGTATGGTATCCAAGGTGGATGAGGGAGAAAAATAAGAGGCACCACAATGTGATCTGTGTAAAAAGCGGGGAAAAGGGGTGTGTGTGTTGGGGTGGGGGAGTATATGAGTAAGTAAATTTGCTTCCAGACACATATAATATCTCTGAAGAAATGCAAAATAAACGAATAACTTTGGTTGTCTGCTGGGAGAGAGCTAGGTGACAGACAGACATGGGACAAGGGTGGAAAGGAGGCTTCTGGCTGTATATTCTTCTGTACCTTTTAATTTTAAACAGGGAATGCACTACCCATTCATAAATAAATAAAATTATGTTGAGTACATAAATAAATAATCAAATAAAACATGGACCTAACCATATTCTTCTCCTGCTAAGTGCCCCCACCGTCTCTGACTGAAAGTAAATTGTGCAGTGTGACCCTGGGGTCCCCTTTTAACCCAGTCCCAGCACACTGTCCCCAAGCTGAGCGCCACCCTACACTTCACGTGCACTTCACAGAGCCTCCCATGCTCTTCACCCTGCCTCAGCACCATACCCATGTGCATGCACACACACAAACCTGGGGCCACATAAGCGCGTGTGCAAGCACAAGCCTGAGCCCAGCCCACTCTGGGGCCTCCTGCCATGAACAAACCTGTCACTAGTCACAGGGCTCTGTGTTCAGGTTCTGAGGAAGGATGGGACAAAGCCTGCAGGTGAACAGCCAAGAGGAGCACCTGGTGTTCACAACATGTGTGACATCCTCCGAGAACACTAGAGAGCCACCTTCATAGCAGAATGGTCCCAGCACCTGATGTGGTGGCCCCCAACTCTGGTGGGCAAAGCTGTGCCAACAGAGCCAAGGTTACTCTACCCAAGGGTAACTTAAGGCTTTTTCAAGAGTAATTCCGACTCTCTGGGCCTTCTCTGGAACCTAAATGTCACCCACTACCTAGCCCAAACTATTGCTGACCCCACTTGGCATATGAGGAGAAGCAAGGTGACCACCCTTGGTTATAGGAGTTGGAGAAGAGACGGAATCCTGGTGTCCACTCTGGCCCACAAGCCACACCGCCTGTCCTCCCAATGGGAGAGCCCCTCTCCAGCCTCCTCTCCCACAGTCCTCACGCTCTCCCCACCTGACACTGACAACCAGGCACAGCCACGCTCCTCCTCACCCCTTCATGGCCTTGCTTTTGCTCCTTCCTGCTCCCCTTGCACGACCTCCCTCCCTGGCCCTTCCTCCCCTGACTCCACTCTGAGAGCTCGCAGACCAAAGCCTGGGCTTCCAATCTGTATTCACAGCCCCCAGCATAAGATCCAGCTCAGGCACAGCTTAATCAGTCTTTGAGGACTGAACTCAGCAAACGAGAACTCCCCCAGCTCCTCTACTTTATAAACTAGGAGCTGGTTACCATTCTTGGGGACCCAATTTCCTATTGGTATATAAAACTATCCAGCAGTGCGTTGTCTTGGCCTGGTGGCTGGAAGGGAAGAGCTCATGTATTCCACATGTTTAGCCATCTCACTTCTGCTGCCTGCTGCTATCCTGGGGTTGGCAAATAAAACTGAACGGTCAGACCCAGAGAGGTAAGTGCAGACAAGGACCCAAACACTCGGCCGGTGGGGACTGTCTCCGCAGCCTTGCTCTGGCATCCACAAGCCGCCTTTGTTGCAGGGAACATACAGCTCCACTCCACAAGGCCAGGCTCTCCAGCGGACCCGCTGTGGTGAAGCCACCACCAGGGACTTCTAAGGAGGCCAGAGGTCACAGCGACTTGACTGGGCCCACTGAGAACCAGGGCACCACTGGCAACGGGGTCAGCATCAGGGAACTGCCCGCTGCTTGACAGCAGCTTTTGGCCTACTGTCGTTTCTTCATCAAACTTTTGATCAGACGACAGGAAGTGACACAACTGGCCTGTCTTGTCTTTTTCAAAATCCCTAGTATTTCCACAGAATGAATCAAACAGAGTCCTCCCCAGTTCCCACGAACCCAAAGTAGGAAATCCTTCTGAGAGTATAGGAACAGAGTGAGTGAGTGGGTGGGAAACACAAGTTAAAAACTGGCCGCTTACAAATGACCCTCTATATTTTTTAGTCTATCGGAGCTTTTCATCTAGTTGTACTAATTACAGAATCTTTTAAAGGTTTGTGGAATAATTAAAACAGGGTTAAAGTTTCTCAGTACTTTAAAAAATTACAATTTCCAATTCTGTAGATTATAAATCTTAACCATTTCAAAAATAAAAATAAAGAAAAACTTACAGACGTCAGCATTTAAAGTGTAAGTTATCTGTGAGATGTGATTTTCCTGCTAGGGATGAAGAAAAAAAGTGTGTGTTCAGAGAAAAAGGTTTCAGCTGGGGAAACTGAATACAAAACTTTAAATATATTTGAGCACTCTCAAAATCAAGTATTTAATCAAAATATGATTTTTACTCAAAAGCTATGGGCATCCTAAAAGAAGTATTAAATGTACAATGAAGAAAAATGCATTTTTACTATTTTATAATATTTTAAAATATTCAATAAATAATGTAATATGGTGTTATCAACAATATAGAACTGTGGTGACAGTTTATAGCCCACTCTTCTCACGATCATTTGTCAAATACATCAAATCTCCATGTGCCGCCATGTCCTCATCTGTGTAAGAGGACAATGATGTACTGAGTCATCGGACTGTGGTAAAGACTAAATGAGACAGCACCTCAGACACAGGAAATCCTCAGTAACATTAGCTGCTTTAACTCCTATTGTGACATTCACTGTGTTCTACATTATCTTCTTCTCATTTTAACTGCATCTCAACTCTGAATGCAACACTTATCTAAATGTGTCGATTTTATCGGATTGATGAATTTTACTAACAAAAGGCAGCGCTAGGAAATCTTTTATGACATATTTGGCCCATTCACAGGGCTGGAGCTTTAATTTAACCAACTTGAGAATTCTGAGGGAGAGCTGCAGGTGTTGGATCTGAAAAAAAAAATCATAAATGGGAAGGCAGATCAATCTTTATGACGGGGAAACAAAAACACTACTTGCTTGCCCTCCACAGGCAGAAGAAGGAGAGGGGGAAGTGGCAGGATATTGTCTCAGGCTGCATAGCAAAGAGGAAGAGGCGCTGTCTCCCAGTGACCGCTACTTAGGATTGATCAAAAGGTGCTGGCCCAGAGAGGAAGAGAAGAATTGATAAAACAATGAGGTTTGCCAACACTGTGTGCTCAACAAGGACATTTTCTCAACCACCTCAGAATAAGTCACTCCTGTGGATGCCTGGGCAACCAGGTGGCTTTCTGTCCCATAGTCCCCAGACCCTTCCCACCCCCATGCTGCCTAGCAGCATGGCCCCTTTTCTGGCCCCACAGACCTCTCTTTACAGAACGTGCTGGCTGTGAGTAGAGCCATGGCTTGACAAGGCCTGATGATGCTCCTGTTACAGATCCCAGGTCACCCCTCCCTGCCCTCACCGGCCTTCACTCTGAGCCACACTTCTGTCCCTGGGAAACCACCACAGCTGCCTCTCCCTGTCTGCCTCCCTGCTGCCTCCAGGGCCTCCTCACCAAGCCCTCCTTGCACCTGAACCAGCCATCTCTGGACAGGAAAACCTGTTCATCGCTCCCCTGCACGGAACTCTGTAACAACTTCCTACTTCCCAGAAGATGAAACTGCAAGCCTGTGCCATGACATACAAGAAAGGGGCCTCTGTGATCCGGCCTTTCTGGGTCTCCCCTCCAGCAGCAGGGTCCATCCATACCCCCAGCTGACTTTATAAGCCTCTGTGACAGAAACATCCAGTCATCCACCAACACTCACCTACTTTTGATAATCAAGTTGCAGCTCAGGAGATGGCAAGGGGACATTTCCTGGCCTCTCGAGCTCTGAGCAGGGCCAATGTGAGCACTCGGACTGACATGTGAGCAGCAGGACCTCATGGGAAGGGTGTGCCACTTCCAGGCCCAGGCCTCAGACTGGGCCTTCCCTGTGAACGTGCACACAGAACCACTTAACTGCTGTTAGGAAGCTACCTGAAAAACCAGCTTCTAGTTTCTTTATGCTTCTGCATTTTTTGACCTCTTGCACCACCTACTTTGCCTTTACCCTTGGTGTGAGCAAGTGCCACACGAGACCCCCTTGCTGGGACCCAAGGCAGACACCTGCTGGCCTGATGCATGTCAGTGAAATGGTGTGCGTCCCGAGGCCCGCTTCTACATGGAGCTTTCCTCTCATCAGCAAACCTACTTGGTGTTCTCTAGGGTCTTCTGCATTTTCTTGGTCATTTTATCAATCGTCGCTTGCCTCTTCCCTTCAGCTAAGAGGTCTATTTTGTTCAGCACCACAACCAGCTTCTGGCAGGCGATCTGCCCAATCACAAGGCACTCTGCTGACTGGGTCTGCATCCCTTTGGTCACATCAATGACCAGCATCATCAGATCTATGATCTGGGCCCCTGGGAGAAGAGAAGAAACAGTTAGACAAGGTAAAGGGGAGATGAGCTCTGCACAATTTTGTCCAATGCCCTAGGTCAGGCAAAACCTGCAAACGATTCAGATAGAAGTGGGTAGAGTGGTAATGAACGATCACCACATATCTCCTAGCACTGGGGGATGGAATGGGTGCTTTGACCTACATGGTTTCAGTGAATCCTCATAACTACCTGGAAGAAAATGAGGTCTACAAGACAGGGAGTTTGCCCAGAGCAAAAGAGAACACGCAGCAAAGCTGGGAGACTCCAAAACCCACACCTTTTTACTACACTGATCCTACTCTTTTTATTCCATCCTACCTAGCAAATTGTCCAAGCAGGAAAATGCTCAGAGTTCGACTTGGCAGGCACCTGGAGATTTGCCCTTGCCAAGTCAGAGCAGAAAAAGCCTGAAAAGGCCTGGGGGCGGGGTCTCCTCCTCTATGGCTCCTGGGCCCTCTCCCCACAGAACTTATGGTTCAGTCGTGACCATCCCATGCTTGCCCGGATTATTTCTGCTCACTTCTTTCATCTTTTCTGTTCTGGCTGGAAGGTTTCTGTTCTTCCTGAGAGGTCAGAAGCAGCCAAGGTCCAGCTACAGCAGCTGTGAGTACTGTGTATGTGCATGCAAGTATATATGCATGCATGTGTGTGCATTATGTATGCATGCCTGGTTGTGAGCATGGCCTGAATACATAGCCAACCCTGAGCTGACCAACAGCAGGTGGGCAAATTAGTCAATGAAGGGAAACTGCTATGAGTCAAGTTAGGAAGACAAATGCTGGCCAATGAAGTGACTGGGTCCTTTGTAATGTGATTTGGAGTAGTTTTATCCAAAAAATTGGTGTTATTTTGGGGAGGCAGGAATACGCAAACATTTTCCCCTTTGCCCCATGGGTGACCTTGTGACCCTCGTCCTGGGTAAGGGTAGTCCTTCACAAGGGCACACCTACTGTGCGCACAAGTCAGATGAAGAAGGTGAGACTCAGAGCTGCAGGGTCACTTGCCCTAGATCACACAGCCAACTGTCTCCAAGGATGACCAGAAACCAGGGCACATGAGTACACTGTGAAGAATTCTCCTGGTCACCACTGGCCTGGGCAGCTTCTCTGGCCTCCCCCAAGGGGAACAGTATGTCTCTGACTCTAAGCAGGCGTCGGAATGTCCTAACTCTCATCCCTCCCTCTCCTCTGCCCTCCCCGCCACTCCCTCCCACCGGCGACACAGTGGAGCTGTGGTCCCAGGGAACCCAGAGGGCAGGCCAGGTGCTCAGGGCAGCCAGCACTAGCATCTCCCTTATCAAGTCACCAGGTGATAGGGCCCAGGTCTCTACAACAGCCATACAGCGGGGACTCTGGTTCCATCATCCACCATGACAGCACAAATTATTTTAAACAGACTCACCTTCTTAAATAACTGAGGCCTATAAAACCTCATTGACTGACAGACTCCCTCTCATATCTACCGAATCACCAACTCACCTCTGGAATCCACCTCTGTTTTAGTCCCCACAGCCCATGTCAGCGGGTACTTCACGACCCACTTTACCTCACCCCTGTCCCTCTGAAATTCATCCTTCAAACAGCTTCCCAGGAGGAACTTTCTAAAACTGTGTAACTGATTCACACACTGTTGGGTGGGGAGGGCTAGTACAACCCCTATGAAGGTCAATTTGGAGACAGTTATCAAAATTTACATAATCTTTGACCCAGCAAGCCCACATCCATGTGAAATGCCCCTGCAGCATGCCTGTTGTAGCCAAAATTGGAAACATGTAAATGTCCATTAGCAGGGAACAGGTTAGAAATTAATAATGCTATACACATGCAATAGGATACTATGAAGCCATTGAAAAGACTGAGGACGTTCTTTATTCTCTGGTATGGTATCCAAGGTGGATGAGGGAGAAAAATAAGAGGCACCACAATGTGATCTGTGTAAAAAGCGGGGAAAAGGGGTGTGTGTGTTGGGGTGGGGGAGTATATGAGTAAGTAAATTTGCTTCCAGACACATATAATATCTCTGAAGAAATGCAAAATAAACGAATAACTTTGGTTGTCTGCTGGGAGAGAGCTAGGTGACAGACAGACATGGGACAAGGGTGGAAAGGAGGCTTCTGGCTGTATATTCTTCTGTACCTTTTAATTTTAAACAGGGAATGCACTACCCATTCATAAATAAATAAAATTATGTTGAGTACATAAATAAATAATCAAATAAAACATGGACCTAACCATATTCTTCTCCTGCTAAGTGCCCCCACCGTCTCTGACTGAAAGTAAATTGTGCAGTGTGACCCTGGGGTCCCCTTTTAACCCAGTCCCAGCACACTGTCCCCAAGCTGAGCGCCACCCTACACTTCACGTGCACTTCACAGAGCCTCCCATGCTCTTCACCCTGCCTCAGCACCATACCCATGTGCATGCACACACACAAACCTGGGGCCACATAAGCGCGTGTGCAAGCACAAGCCTGAGCCCAGCCCACTCTGGGGCCTCCTGCCATGAACAAACCTGTCACTAGTCACAGGGCTCTGTGTTCAGGTTCTGAGGAAGGATGGGACAAAGCCTGCAGGTGAACAGCCAAGAGGAGCACCTGGTGTTCACAACATGTGTGACATCCTCCGAGAACACTAGAGAGCCACCTTCATAGCAGAATGGTCCCAGCACCTGATGTGGTGGCCCCCAACTCTGGTGGGCAAAGCTGTGCCAACAGAGCCAAGGTTACTCTACCCAAGGGTAACTTAAGGCTTTTTCAAGAGTAATTCCGACTCTCTGGGCCTTCTCTGGAACCTAAATGTCACCCACTACCTAGCCCAAACTATTGCTGACCCCACTTGGCATATGAGGAGAAGCAAGGTGACCACCCTTGGTTATAGGAGTTGGAGAAGAGACGGAATCCTGGTGTCCACTCTGGCCCACAAGCCACACCGCCTGTCCTCCCAATGGGAGAGCCCCTCTCCAGCCTCCTCTCCCACAGTCCTCACGCTCTCCCCACCTGACACTGACAACCAGGCACAGCCACGCTCCTCCTCACCCCTTCATGGCCTTGCTTTTGCTCCTTCCTGCTCCCCTTGCACGACCTCCCTCCCTGGCCCTTCCTCCCCTGACTCCACTCTGAGAGCTCGCAGACCAAAGCCTGGGCTTCCAATCTGTATTCACAGCCCCCAGCATAAGATCCAGCTCAGGCACAGCTTAATCAGTCTTTGAGGACTGAACTCAGCAAACGAGAACTCCCCCAGCTCCTCTACTTTATAAACTAGGAGCTGGTTACCATTCTTGGGGACCCAATTTCCTATTGGTATATAAAACTATCCAGCAGTGCGTTGTCTTGGCCTGGTGGCTGGAAGGGAAGAGCTCATGTATTCCACATGTTTAGCCATCTCACTTCTGCTGCCTGCTGCTATCCTGGGGTTGGCAAATAAAACTGAACGGTCAGACCCAGAGAGGTAAGTGCAGACAAGGACCCAAACACTCGGCCGGTGGGGACTGTCTCCGCAGCCTTGCTCTGGCATCCACAAGCCGCCTTTGTTGCAGGGAACATACAGCTCCACTCCACAAGGCCAGGCTCTCCAGCGGACCCGCTGTGGTGAAGCCACCACCAGGGACTTCTAAGGAGGCCAGAGGTCACAGCGACTTGACTGGGCCCACTGAGAACCAGGGCACCACTGGCAACGGGGTCAGCATCAGGGAACTGCCCGCTGCTTGACAGCAGCTTTTGGCCTACTGTCGTTTCTTCATCAAACTTTTGATCAGACGACAGGAAGTGACACAACTGGCCTGTCTTGTCTTTTTCAAAATCCCTAGTATTTCCACAGAATGAATCAAACAGAGTCCTCCCCAGTTCCCACGAACCCAAAGTAGGAAATCCTTCTGAGAGTATAGGAACAGAGTGAGTGAGTGGGTGGGAAACACAAGTTAAAAACTGGCCGCTTACAAATGACCCTCTATATTTTTTAGTCTATCGGAGCTTTTCATCTAGTTGTACTAATTACAGAATCTTTTAAAGGTTTGTGGAATAATTAAAACAGGGTTAAAGTTTCTCAGTACTTTAAAAAATTACAATTTCCAATTCTGTAGATTATAAATCTTAACCATTTCAAAAATAAAAATAAAGAAAAACTTACAGACGTCAGCATTTAAAGTGTAAGTTATCTGTGAGATGTGATTTTCCTGCTAGGGATGAAGAAAAAAAGTGTGTGTTCAGAGAAAAAGGTTTCAGCTGGGGAAACTGAATACAAAACTTTAAATATATTTGAGCACTCTCAAAATCAAGTATTTAATCAAAATATGATTTTTACTCAAAAGCTATGGGCATCCTAAAAGAAGTATTAAATGTACAATGAAGAAAAATGCATTTTTACTATTTTATAATATTTTAAAATATTCAATAAATAATGTAATATGGTGTTATCAACAATATAGAACTGTGGTGACAGTTTATAGCCCACTCTTCTCACGATCATTTGTCAAATACATCAAATCTCCATGTGCCGCCATGTCCTCATCTGTGTAAGAGGACAATGATGTACTGAGTCATCGGACTGTGGTAAAGACTAAATGAGACAGCACCTCAGACACAGGAAATCCTCAGTAACATTAGCTGCTTTAACTCCTATTGTGACATTCACTGTGTTCTACATTATCTTCTTCTCATTTTAACTGCATCTCAACTCTGCAATGTGGGTATCACCGAAGAGAAAACAAATGCTCAGAGAAGTGAAGTAACCAAGTTGAGGTCAAGGATCAAGGACTTAGGCAGAGCGGTGTGAAGTCAGGCCCACTGACTTCTTTCCACTACAGCACCCTCTGCTCCTGAGCAGCAGGATCTCAAGGTCCTGAGTAAAACACCAGCTCAGAACCTGGGTGGGGATGCCTGTGCCAGCCCCCGGGGGGCTGCAGGACAGTAGAGCTGGTGACCCCCTCAGAGTACAGCTCCTGGGAGCCCAGGGCAGGAGGAAGACCTGCAGCCCTTTAATCCCAGGG